AAAGAAAAAAGGAACCCCCCCCCCCCCCTTCTAGTTAGGGTCAAATAGGCCCTGACCATTACATGGCATCACCGGGTGCTAAGCTTCTGGCATTTGGCACTTTTAGCAATGGCAAGAGTATATTCAACCCCAACTATTAACGGAGGGAAAATCTGTTCCATTACGCATAGTTTAGGGCAAATTCAACCCTTTGCCCAAAAGTTATTAAACGTACTTGTCTCCACAGGCATTGTCTATGGTAGTTTCTTGTACCCCCATGGGGCTAGCACACTACATATAAGCTTTATTACTATTCTCAACTTAACACTGAGTAATTTGCCTTTTGTAATACATATACACGAGTGATCACCCAAAATGATAAAGACATTGACAACGTTTTCAAGATATAACAGTATGAGTATTTTCGAATTAAGCTTAATGGGAAAATGCTAACTTTTCAGTTGAAGCTCAACTTACCTTTCGGAAAGCTTAAATCTTCCATCCATTATAGCTGGTATTTGCCGGATGGGATTAATTTCTGAAGACAAACACAAAGGAAACTATTGACATTATGTCGAAAATTAAGAAACAAATAACAAATCAACCCCTTTCTTAGTGGGAAAAGTATAGTTTATTTATTAACAAAAACACAAACCTCGATATTCAGGAGACAATTGCTGGCGTTTGGAGAGATCTATATGAACTTCCTCAAAGTCTATCCCATTTAACCTATTGGGAAAATAATCATTATAACTCCATTTTTGAGCTTCAAAACTACAAACAATATCAAGAAAAACTTCCTCACCACTTAACTATATAGTATTTGGTGCGGAGAAAAATATTTTTGAATGACTTCTCTACTAAAACTAGGAAAAACAAGTTTCTGAAGTGACATTCCACTTTCATTATTTCCCCCACCCGCCCAACATCCCCAATCCCGTCCTCGAACTCCCACTCCCTAGTCCCTACCCCATCCTGCTCACATAGTATTTTTCTCGATTACATATAAATGTTTTTAGGATAATACTTTTTTTCTTACTTACCAAACACAAATACAAGTAAATTAGTAAGAAACCGACTTATTTTCCAACAAAACATATTCATTGAAAGGAGTGAGTAAGTATAAAACTCCAATTTGAGCTCGAAAACAAATTCTAACAAAATACAAGCTAAATCATTAAGAATAGAGAAAAATGAAAAGTAATTCAAAGAAACAAATTGAAGAAAAAATTGCTTACTTGCAGAAGATTATAACTTCACGACAAGCTTGGGACATACGATCTACGTATAATTTGAGCGTCATCTCTATAATCTCCCACTGCTTCACCTTCCGATTTTCTTTATTTTGAGGATGGGTTTAGACACAGTCAACTCAACTGGGAAGGTATAATTATTATTTTGGGACAAGGCTTTGAAAAATATCCAACTTTGGTCGGATTTGTTATTGTGATACTAATTTTTCATAAGAATCTATTATCTTTCTAGACTATTTAATATCGTATTTTTTATCCCTGAACTATTAATAGTGTATTTTAAAGGTATATATGTGCCCACGTGGACACATTACTATTTATAATTTTGCACTATTTTTTATATTCACGTGGGCAAATATATATGTTTAAAATACGGTATTAAATAGTCTAAGGAGGTAATAGGTCCTCATGAAAATTTAATCGCAATAGCAAATTCGACCAAAGTTAGGATATTTTTCAGATCTTTATTCCTTTATTAATATATGATTTTTTTGCACACATTGCCCCTCAAGTGGACTGAATTATTTATACATGTGTTCTGTAAAACTTGTCGCTCATGTTCCAAATCAATTAATATTATATAAATTAGACTCAATAAGCAAATTATTTATCCAAATTAGATCCAATTTAATATGTTTATTTTGATTGAATCCACGTCCAAACTTTTCTTTCTGAGGGCAAACTGTCTTTTCATTAAAACATTATTTGTTTCCGGGCATCCTCAAAAAAAAGGTTATTATACACCCCAGCCCCATCCCGGCATACTTTCTATATCTCCTCCGTCTACAAGGTAAACAACTTAGCTTAGAGCACAGTGTGTTCGCCACCACACTGGCTGGCTGGTGCATTGGCCTGTTCCTCCTTGATGTTTTAAGGAGTAATTGAGTAGTTTTCTACTGAATATACATATCAAATAGTAAATGCGCATTAGTAATTAAAAATAAAGATATGAAAGTAAGGGATAACAGCTTATAAATAGTTTCCCTTTTTGGGTACAAGTGTTATTTTCCCTTAAATTTATTTGATTAGTTTAAAGAATATAAGACACCAACTAAATATAATTCAAACCCGACCCATCTTACTAAATTAACCCAAAGAAATAAGAGATGCATCGGGTTTGGTTATATTAGGATGGCGGTTTTTTTTTTTTTTGAAAATTGGATAATTTCAATTGCTTTGGGGATTTCCATCTAAATAAGAGTATGGATGATAAATTTATACACTATGTCTAAAATATGCTTAATTTGTGAAATATTATGATACGAACCTTGTTGTGCGATCCCAATAATTATTTGTTATTTCGACGTCAACGACATAAATTTCATTCCAAAAATAGAGTCCAAAGGTTGGTTGTTGGGTTAAGCCCAAGTTGTTTTTGGGCCATAAAGCCTTTTTAAGGAAAAGAAATTAAAGTACTTTTTTTTTTCACTTTGTTTATCCCGCCCTTTGAAAGACTACAATTGATCGGCGCCGGACTTCGATCACCGTCGGCGTTTCTAAGCCGTCGCCGGACTAAGCCGGAGAAAGTGAGTTTCAAAAGACTTAAGCTGAATTCATCGAAAACCTTTCGTTTTCCTCTTAGTAATTCTACTTATTTACTTTCTCCACATACTGTTTTTCACTTCTTCTTTTTTTGCAATTCATGGGTCTTGATACTGTTTATCACTGTTACAGATCTCAATCAAGTGAGCTAAGCACTCGGCGTTTCAACTTCTGGTTATAAATTTATTAAAGCCTTTGCTCCATTAGGTAAATTTTCTGCTCAGTGTCTTACTCTTACTTTTTTAGCTTTTCAATTTTGCATTTTTTTTAATCTAGTGTAATTGCTTAGTTTAATTATGCAATAGTGATAAATAGTCTTCTAAGATTAGTCAAAAACTCATGCTTTAGTGAAATGCTATCTGTTTCGAAATTGTTATTGTTAACCAATACTAGTTTGGGGGCTAATCAGAATTACCCCATATATGTATCTCTATTAGATCTCATTGAACAGTGTTAAGTGTCAATTTGGTTCCATATATGTGTTGGTGGTAGGTAGCAGAATGCAGATACCCATAGAATTAGTCGAGGTGGGGACAGCACAGTTATCCCGAAAAAAAGTGATGTGATTTGGTTTCAAACTTGTATTGTCCAGGTGTATGTATGAGATCTAGAGAACAACTAGTTTCTGTTATATGACAAATTGTTTGTGTCAAAATGAAACTGGTTCAAACAGACGATGATGGATATAGAGGATTTATAGCCTATCACACTAGTTTGGTATTGAGATCCAGCTGATCATTGATTGGTTGATCCTCTTGTCTTTTTCTGTTTTGGGGGAAGGGGGTTATGAGCTCTCTCTTCTTGCCACCTCCTTTCTAAATTTAAGAAAAAGGAGTAAAAGATTCTGGCAATATGGACTTGGGAGTAAATTCTGATGTGTTTTTTGAAACTAAAGAAATGAGTGAGTGTGTGTGAGAGAGAGAGAGACTGATGAAATTACTGAACTGTTTTGAAACAACTTAAAGATGAAAAAGAAGCAACAATACCACATGCTATTTGGTGAACAATTTGGATAGAAAGGAGTAGCAGAATTCTTGAAGGCAACAATAGAAGCATACTTAGTCTTAATGGTGCAACCTGATCTTTGTACTTGATGTAGATGCCATGTTAGATATGATCGCTTCGATTTGCAGAACTTGTAACTATGTTTTTGATGTACTAGCTTAGTATTGATCCGTCTTATAAACTACCTTACCTTGATAAATGAAAAAATTAAAGAAGCAACAAAGAAGTGTATAAATGATTAATATGGTCTAACCAAAATAAGTTGGACTTGAGGTATTGTTGATTGAACTAAGCAGATTCTTTGAAAAATCAAATTCTTGAGTACATTTGCGGGGAGGTTTGCTCAGGTGCCTTCTCAATCTTCTCTAATGTGCAGAGTTGGATGTGTGTCAGTTAATTGTAGCATCTCGAGAAAAAAAACCCGAATCAAGTTCAATACTTCAAACGGGTATATAACTCTTAAGCTATAAGGAGTTACGCGATGCACTATATACCAAACTAATGATCTTTGAGTCTACTTTTTAGTGCTGTAACAATTTGGTATTTAAGTATTTCCTCCGAAAAGTTGCGGAAAGAGCAATGAAGCGCTACTCGCTACTAAGTTAAATGGAACACTTGTATTATTTGCCTAACCTTTGTATGCTTTAAATAAAATGCATATTTTAAGGGGAAATGTAATGTATATATTCATATGTGTATTTGTTGCCAGTTAAGTTATAAAATGGTGAAGTGACCATTCTTATGTATAAAAACAAGGGCGATATCCAGAACTGTAACAACTACAGGGGTATCAAGTTGCTAAGCCATACTATGAAGATTTGGGAAAGAGTAGTGGAGATGAGGGTGAGAAGAGGGGTGTCCATTTCTGAGAACCAGTTTGGATTCATGCCTGGACGGTCGACGACCGAAGCCATTCACCTTATGCGAAGACTGGTAGAAAAATATAGAGAAAGGAAGAGAGACCTACATATGGTGTTCATTGACCTTGAAAAGGCCTATGACAAAGTACCGAGGAATGTCCTCTGGAGGTGCTTGGAGGCTAAAGGTGTCCCGATGATTTATATTAGGGCGATAAAGGACATGTACGGTGGAGCCAAGACTCGGGTTAGAACGGTTGGAGGTGACTCGGAGCATTTCCCAGTTGAGATGGGGTTGCACCAAGGATCAGTCCTTAGCCCTTTTCTATTTGCTTTGGTGATGGATGAGTTGACGCGGTCCATCCAGGAGAATGTCCCATGGTGTATGTTATTTGCGGATGACATAGTACTGATTGATGAGACGCGGGACAGAGTTAATGCGAGGTTGGAGGTGTGGAGACAAACGCTGGAGTCCAAAGGGTTCAGGTTGAGTAGGACCAAAACAGAATATTTGGGGTGCAAATTCAGTGATGCGTTGGATGAGGCAGATGTAGAAGTGAGACTTGCCACACAGAGCATCCCCAAGAAAGAAAGTTTTAAGTATCTTGGGTCTGTAAT